TTAAGTTTTGTTGGAAATTACAATTGAAATATTCCAGAATCGAGACTTTTCGCAAATACTACATTGAAACGAATGTACATTCTCTGTTTGTCCTGTTTATGAGTATACTTATTTATAATTTTAATAATTAATGTAATATTAATAATAATCGTTTTCATTTACCCGGTGAAATGAGTCTTAAATTTTCTATATAATATTCGACGGATATATTTAACGTAATACAATGTTATTTACAAGAGCGTGTGTATGTGATGACGCGTAATTGTGAAATTAATACTTGCGACATTTCGAGGTGTTTCAATTATCCTCGAAATTAAATAATGATTCACACAAAAAATGATATAAATTTCAACACATTTTTTTCGTTTTTTTTTTTTTTAATTTTAGAAACCATAAAGTTTGTAAATTTAAGTGTTTTTTTTTTATTTTTAAAAAATAAATAAAAGTTGCGGCGTTAATTCGAGATTCATTACTGACTCTCTACCGTACGCACTGCATAAGATAGAGTCCATATTTTGGATACAGTTGTAGAATAAAAGGAAAATATTTTGGAAATATGTTGAAACTTATTTTGACGCAATAAACAATATTTTAAATTCGAAAATGTCTTAACAATTCTCTCGAGTTATTATTCAATTACGCATAATCGTGTCTGTTTTATAATCTACTGTACTTAATTAATAACATTAATTATCTTCATAGCTCTTAAAGCACACATTTACACAAATTTTTCAAAATCGATAAGTACCTGAAACTGTTTTTGTTTTAGCTGCCTACATAATTCTACTTGTTTTTTAGGCCGAATTTTTGGATTCTATTAACAGTCTAGGGATGGAAATAAAAAAAAAATCGAAACAGTTTCAAGAACTTCGATTTTGCTTTTTTATCACATTTGTCGCGTCAATTTAAAAAAAAAATGAAAATTCGTAGAGAGAATTTTTTTTTCCCGATTAGATTTGTTTCACATTTTTTTCTGGATTTCATACGAACATTGAAATATTTTTATGTAATAATTGTAATAATTGTAAATAAATAAAATTTTAAAAAAATAAATAAATACGAAAAAATTATATATAATGAAAATGTCGAGACTTGAAATTAAAAATTAAATTAAAATTTCTTTGATGAAATGAATTTTTTAGAAAAAATAAATTCTAAATAAAAAAATACTCTGAGTGGAAGATTCTAACAATCGTTTTTTTTAATTGAAGAGTATAATTTGATGACTATTCAATCGTGATATGACATCCAGGGAGAGAGTGAAACAAAGGTGACAAAATAGGGTGCAGTGTCCACTACATTCACACTTTCAGTCTCTTGGACGCACCTAAAGAAACAAATAATTTATCTATATTTTCTTGGTCTCGTTTCATCCAAGTGTTCGAAAAAAACGGTTCAAAGCACCAAAAAATCTACTTTACCGACTTTCGATATTAAAAAAAAATTTTTTTTTAAAAATTATACCCAAAGATAGGTAGAGGCACCTAATTTATTATCCACTCTTCCATTTTTTGCAATTTTCAATTGCAATGGGTTCTTTCATTTAGGCAAAAATTGTTCGGAAAAATTTTTAGTTTGTCAATTTTTTGATTAAAAGGAAAAAAACTATTTCTTTCTAACAAGTCTTCAGAAAAAAAAAAATTGAGGATAATGCCGGAAGAAAATGGAAACACGTGTGAAAAGAAATTGAAAAGATTTTTCAAAACGATAGGAAATTATTAATCAATTTGTAACGAGTGCTCGGAACCGTCGCCTTTCGTTTATAGAAAAGAACCAAAATAAGAAATCTAAGATCTAGAATGAAGAAGGGGGAGAGGCATACATAAAATTGCTTTCGATCTCTCGTCCATTTGAAAAAGCGTGTTGGTCTTGTCATCGATAAAAATCCGCAGAAAATCCTGGATTTTTGTGCCGTCGATTATCGCGATTCAATTTCGATTAGGCGAAGTGTTTCTTTTAGTTTATTCCTTTTTTCCTTGTCAGCTCGCCACTTTGTTTTTTTTTTAAATTTTATTTCTTTTTCTCTGTGATGATTCAGAGGAGAATCTGTTTAATGAAATTCGGCACGAGTGAATACCATGTTGAACAAGGCAATTTCAGAAGGCATTGATTTTCTCGTGTGTATTGTCACGTTGACTCTGTTATGCCCTGTGAGTCACTCAAAAAAAAAAAAAACACAAAAAACACAAAAAAAAACATTAAAAAAATAGTCTCACAATCAGTCTACTTTAAAACAATGATCGCTCGTTATCGACACTCACGTTTCTACAAGCGGAAACAATCACGATATCAAAAGCCAATCAAACTCTTGGAGTGCGTAATTGCCATAGAGAAGTTTCCTTTACGCATCGATCGACTATGACTTTTGAATCCGTTGCTTTTTTGCGGAAATGTTGCACTAAATCTCGAGACATCTTTTAGTATCATTTTTGATACTAAAATATTTTTTTTTGTCATTTATTATTTTTATTTTCCTTGAGTAATAAAATATTTGTTCATCCAAACATTTCCACTGTTTCTTTGGTTCTTGAAAGTAAAGGAAATTTCCTTCAACAAATTTTTTGCAGTTTCTTCTGAAATTTTTCTTTTCGGAAAATATCGGACAAATATTTTTCATCAGACTTTGAATATTTGTAAGAAAAATCGGACCCAAGAGTTTTTTTCACAAATTGTTCATATTTCTTCTTGGAGAAAATTTTAGTAATTTTTTTACTCGTTTTTCGAATCGTTCTTCTAAACAAAGTTAATTTCCTTTTTTTAGATTTTGAAATATTTGATTTGAAACAGTTTTCGAAAAAATTGTTTTCTATTTGAAGAAGTTTTATTGAAAAATTTTTCAAAAATGACTCTTTTTAGATTATAATAAACTTTATAGGAATTCAATCGAGAAGAAAAACAATGAAAGAATAGGAAGAAAAATATCGCAACTCTAATTTCTTGAATGATGACAAAATTTTGATCTTTAAATAGAAAAATTTTTTGGAGTAGAGTTAAAAATTTAATGTTAGAAAAATTAAATTTTTCATTCTTACACTTTAATTTATTTATATATTTATAATTTTTTTAATTAAATTTAATAATTAAATTAATGAATAAAAAAATAATTAAATTTAATTATTGAATTAATTGGTAAAAAATAATTAAATTTAATTATTAAATTAATTGGTAAAAAATAATTAAATTTAATAATATAAATAAATAATATAAATAAATTTTTTTCCATGTAAGAAATAATTGATGTTATTTAACTTTTTGTTTTGACTGCACGATAATTATTTCTTTAGTAGGAATATTTTATCATAAAATTGAGGTATATTTTTCAAAATATTCTCTACAAAAAATATTAAAAAAGTTTTTGAAAACTTTTCAAATTTTTTACGCTTTTATAGGTGAGAATAATTTTTTATTCTTCTTTCAAAAACATCCCTGAAAAAATTTCCCAAACTGATATTTTTTTGGAAAATTTTTCAAATGTTCATTTTTCTTTAGAATATTTGCAAAAATAAGTAAAATAGTCCGAAAAAAATATTTTCATCTAGCCAATTGCGAATAATTGAAAATTATTCTCTTTTCAAACCTAAAAATACAAAAGAGTCAAGAAATTTTCGATTTTTTTTTAAGAAAAAAAATTCTTGACAAAAAACAATTATTTATTCTGAACAATTTGGAAATATTCCTCTTGGATAGCAAAAGTCTTAGATGGAATCTTAAATTTTTAAGAAAGAATCTAACGGACATTAAAATAAAAAGTTAGTCCAATGTCATAATTTCGTAATTTAAAAGAAAAACACAAATTAAATTTTAAATTTGTCTTGGTAGAAAGGCGAAGAATTTAATTATGAATATTTAAAACGATTAAAAGTTGTATTTGAATAAAAATTACAATTTTCTGTCAATAAGAAACATTTGTTAAATTTTAAGTTATGTTATTTAAATCATTTAGTATTGCCGAAAAATTATAATTTGTTTTTTTGAACAAAAAATGTTCAAAATGTAGAAAATTAAATTCTTTGCGCTTCTACCAAAATAAATTTTAAATTTAATTTAACTTTTTTTTAAAATACGAAATTATGACATTGGACTAACTTTTGTTCCGATTGTTTGTCGGATTCTTCCTTAACCGTAAATAAGAGACACTTACAAAGATGATTTTTTTCTATAAATTTTCATTATATAGAATTTAATGATAAAATTTTTTACGATCTGAAAAAATTCCCCAAAATTGAGAATTAGTTTTATTTGATTAGAATTCTATTCATTATATCCAAATGATAATTAGAAAAATTATTCAAAAATGAAAAGTTTGCGGGAAAAAAAAAGAATAAATTGTCAGTTTAATGTTGAGCACCCGGAAAGAGAATCAGGTAAAGTGGAACAATTTCTTTTTTTCTTTTTTTGGGTACGATTGAAAATGTGCGGCTATAAAAAAGGATGAAGTACCAATTTGGTATCAACAATGGCGAATTTTAATCGCACGCGAGTCATTGGTCTCGAATATCAACGTAGACGACCGTGAGCGACCATCACGATAGAACACGAATTCTCACAGTGTCTCTCTTTCTCTCTCTCTCACACACACTCTCACACACATTTACATACACATATACTCTTTTCTCTCTGTTATAAATATGCAAATCTTGAATGCAATTGTGCGAGGCGCGACTCTTATGCAAATCTATGCTAAAGAATATCGAAATTCGGACGCACACCTGACGCATAAATAAATAAAGAAAGTACCCCATTTGCGTATTTGCCCGATTCTAATCACTCTCTCTCGACTAATTGATTTTCTTTTTTAAGAAAATTTTCTCGACTTCGTACAATTGCATTCAGTATTTTTTTTTTATCATCATAATTATTTTTTTTTTTTAACTTTCACCTCTGGTAAATTTCAAAGATTCTTTTTTCCTATTTTCTAATCTTCGGTTCTAAAGGGATCTCTACAAATTTCTAGAACTAGACTTTTACAAAATCTTAAACATAGTAAATTACAAATTTTCTTTTCTTTTGAAAAATGACAAAAAATTCCTTTTTTTTTTTATAAAAAAGTATCAAAGGTATATAGAGTATAGATTCGTAAAAAATAATTTCGACCAGAGTAAGTTTTATGTTGATTTTTGAAACCAACATTATTTTTCTTTTTTTGAAAACAGTTGGTGGTTGTTTTGTTTTTTTTTGTCTTCTTTGACAAAAAAAAATCAATTTCCAAAATTGGAAATGGATTGAAAAGCTCGTAATTCTTACACAAAAGTGAGAGAATTATTTTTGTTTTTGGTTGATCCGAGGTTTGGCGAAGAATTTTTTGTGTATGTATAGGAAATATGTTTAACAGATGGTTTCTAGAGGTGCAGTTTTAGTGCTGGGATTTTGCGTGACACTGTCGCCCATACTCGGCATTCCATGGCTAGTGGTGCTGAGGCCGTTGCCCTGCCTTCCGGCGCTGGTCCTCGGGTTCCTGCTGCAGATCCTCTTCACGGCAGCGCGAACTTGCGGTTGGCAGCCGACGACAATGAATATAAAGACACCCTGGAACGCATTGATCACATCTGGAACGTACCACAGATAGGTCGGGCCACCAGCTGCCCAGGAGACGACGTCCAGGATCCATGTCACACCCATAACCACCACAAGTTTCATGCAAACTCTTCCCAAAGCGGCACTGTAACCAAAATAATAATCAAACTTATTAACACACAATAACATTTTTTTTATGTTGACATTATTTTCTTAATCACTTCAGTCATTCAGTGTTAGGTACAACTGTAGACGTACTTTTTAAAGTAGGCTTACGTATGATATGTATATATATATATATATATATATATATTTATTTATGCAATTTATATTTAATATATTAATAAATTTCGAATTTTGAAAATCTGACATCATATTCGAAATCAACGACCCCAAAAACCCCCGAGTAAAAAGTTTCAAGTGAATTTAATCATTTTTTAAAAATAAGTCCGCCATATTGGATCCGCCATTTTGAATTTTTAAAATCTGACTTCATATTCGTAATCAGCGACCCCAAAAACCCCCGAGTAAAAAGTTTCAAGTGAATTTAATCATTTTTTAAAAATAAGTCCGCCATATTGGATCCGCCATTTTGAATTTTAAAAATCTGACTTCATATTCGTAATCAGCGACCCCAAAAACCCCCGAGTAACAAGTTTCAAGTAAATTTAATCAATTTTAAAAAATAAGTCCGCCATATTGGATCCGCCATTTTGAATTTTAAAAATCTGACTTCATATTCGTAATCAGCGACCCCAAAAACCCCCGAGTAACAAGTTTCAAGTAAATTTAATCAATTTTAAAAAATAAGTCCGCCATGTTGGATCCGCCATTTTAAATTTTGAAAATATGAAAAATCCGACTTCAAATTCTTAATCAGCGACCCTGAAAACCCCCTATAAAGTGTACGTTATTAAATTCCTTGACTAGAAAAATGTATGCTTCAATGGGTTATAAAAACTTTAAAAGTTACTTCCACATTTTTCCAAAAATATTTAAAAATAATACTTTCTTTACAATACCATTAATTTTCTAACTTCTAATTGAATTAGGTTCAAAAATAAGTTAATCTAAGCGTCTTTTAATGCTCTACACTGAAAAAAAAAGTTCATTGAATCAAGTAAATGCATTTTCTTGACCTGATTTATTTGAAACAAACCCATATTTTCTTATTGGAAGAAATTTATTTTCTTGTGTCAAGTAATTTTGAGCATTGATCAAAGTTATTGAAATAAGAAAATATGGGTTTGACATAAGTAAATATCTTACTGTTTCAAACGAACTGTTTTACATGCGCCAAGTCTCGAAAAAGTATTGAATCAAGAATATCATGTTCTCACGTCAAGTAATTTACCTTGAGTCATTTGGTATCTTGAGTCAAATAATTTTTTTATTTCCTTTAAAGCAACTATTTATTTCATCCAACACCCATAGTCTTGAGCCAAGAAAATGGGAAGATTAATACAAGTTAATAATTGTTTCAACTCAATTAAAAATTATTTTGTTTCAAAGAAATATTAATTAATCTAAGCATTTCTTTTACTTGAAGCATTTCTATATTCTCATGTTTCAAAATCATTAATTTCTTGCGAGAATGTTATATTTTCTGGAATGAAATATTTTATTTATTCAATTCAATTAAGTGTAAGATCTTAATATAAGTAAATATTTGTTTCAAGTCGATTAAAAATTATATTCAATTAATCCCATATTTATTTGAAGAAAGAAATTCATTTTCTTGTGTCAAGTAATTATTAGCATTGAACAGAATTCTTGAATTAAGAATGTAGTATTTGGCGGAACTAAATATGTAATTATTTCAACCAAATATTTTACTTTTCCGAAGTACCAAAAAGTATTGAATCTAGAATATATGTTCTTAAGCGAAATAATAAAGTATTGTCTGGAGAATTCATGTTTCTTGAATCGAATCATTTTATTTATTTGCTTTGAAACTTTTTTTTACTTAACACAATGCCGGTGTTCTTGATCCAAGAAAATATTTTTCTTCAAATGTATATGCAACTTAAATATCAGTTTTTGAAAACTGTCCATTGAGGCTAGGATGGCATAGTGGTAGCGTGACGGCTTCTGGTGCGTGCAACCCGAGTTCAATTCCTCCGACCGTGGAAAATTTTCTTTCAAGGTATATTTGTTGTATTTGTGTTAAGTATTAATTAAATGTAAATATATATGTAAAATAATAATTATTTAATTATTTAAATAAAAAATATAAATGTTAATTAATTAAATAATAAAAATGTTTGACCTAAGTATTAGAAAAGATGGGATGGAGGTAAGGGGGGGGGGGGGTAATTTAAGTAAATAATTTACTTGTATTGAGAAAGTATTTTTTTGATTGAAAACTATAAATTTTCTCAAATCAAGAAAATATTTTCTCGGACAGAGAACATACTTTCTTGATTTGATACATAAATGATTTTGAATTAATATATTCTGCATTTCTTACATGCTACTTAATTTCTTGGTAGAATTCCATATTTTCTTGGATCAAGAATATCTGTTCTTCTCACAAAATAAATGTTTTCTTCATTTAATCTTGAATTACTTGAACGAACGTTACAAAACATTGAATGAATCGAATAAAATAATTCAATCATCTATATATATTCTTAGAACAAGAAAATATTTTATTCATTTAATACATTTTATATTTCGTATAAGAAGATTAACTTCTTGGTCGAATTCCATATTTTCTTGGATCAAGAATATATGTTCTTCTCCCAAATATCCTATGTCAAGAAAATCGTTTTCTTGAATCAATACTTTAATAGTCTTGGCCGTATTCAATCCCACGATTTTCTTCAACCAAGAAAAATTTTCTTGGTTCAATACTTTTTTTTTTCAGTGTACAAGTTTGTTATGCGATTTTTAAAGTTTCTCCTAAATTTCTTAAGAGAATTTTTAAAAAATTCTTATTTTTCAAATTTTAGATTTTTAAATGCGTTTAATATCTCCGGATAATATGGACGAAAAATGTTCAATAAGAGTTCAAAAGATGACACTAAAAAAACTCTATAAAATTAGATAAAAACATTTATAGATGTCCTGACTTTTTTTTAAAGTTATAGGCAAAAAAAAAAATTTTTTAAATAACAAGATTTTAACAAAAGCCAGTCTAAGTAAGAGAAATCCTTTATCTTAATAGATAAGCCATTTTAAAATTCGTAAAACTAGCATTGGATTCGTAATAAGCAACCCCAAAAACCCCCCAAGTAACAAGTTTAAAGTTATTCCGATGAATTTGAAAAAAATTATCCGCCATATTGGATCCGACATTTTAAATTATGAAAAACTGTCATCGGCTTCGTAATCAGTGACCCTAAAAACCCCCTAATTATTATATTATAAAATTTTGTTGCATTTTATTGTAGAAAATGTATTTTCACTTAAAAATACGAATTTTTTATGCTTTATTTATTTATATCAATCTTGATGTCAAACAATATTAATTTTTGTCCTGCATTTAGAATTTTGAATTATAATTTCAAAATTCAAAATGTTAAATCCAATATGGCAACTAATATTTCTAAAAATTATTTAATTTGCTTGAAATTTGTTTCTTGGGGGTTTTTAGAGTCGCTGATTAAGATTGTTAAGAGAGATTTTTAAAATTCAAAATACTGAATTCAATATGGCTGACGAAAAAGTCCCTTTTTAGATCATTTTGACCCATTTTTTTTAAGGTTTTTCCCTCGAGTAATAAGTTTCAAGCAAATCGGAGTATTTTTTAATTTTTTTTGTCCTCCACATTAGATTCGCCATTTTGAATTTTTTTAACACGATTCCTGATTTGGAATTTGTCATGAGATTTCCAAACTATAAATTGGCAGATCGAATATGGCGATCATTTCTTTGAAAATTCATCAAATTTGCTTGAAATTCTTCGCTTGTAGGTTTTTATAGCAGTTCATTACGATTTCAAAATTAGTTTCAAAATTCAAAATATCGGATCCAATATGCCTGACAGATTTTCTTAAAATGCATTAAAATTCGAAATAAGCGATCATAATATCCCTCCAAAAAAAATATTTTTCAAGATAATTTAATGAATTTAAAATAAAAATGCTCGCCATATTGGATCCGCCAATTTGAATTTCGGAGTCGCTGATTATAAATCAGATGTCAGATTTTCAAAATTCAAAATGGCGGATCCAATATGGCGGATAAATTTTCAAAAATTCAACAGATTTCCTTCAAAGTCGTTTGTCGGGGGTTTTTCGGGTTAATGATTACGAATCCGACTTCTGATTTAAAAAATTCAAAATATCAAATCCAATATGGTGGACAAATTTAAAAAAAATTTAACGGATTCCTTTCAAACTCGCCTTGCTTGAGTGTTTCGTTTGAGCAGTAAAAAATATTTATCTTTAACGAAAGTAATTCAAAAGCTACTTGCAATTCCGGAAGTGCCCAATCATTCTCGAGATTCAGAACCTACATCAGAGACTGAAGAAACATCTGAAGAATATGTAGATATTAATCTTTTCCAAAGAGAAAATTATTTAAATGATTTAGAGCTATCTGTCGATGAGGACGATAATAATTAAGGAACTTTTGTTAGTGATGATTAAGTGATAATAACTTTTAAATTATATGAAGATAATGACTTAAATTTAAAATTATTATTAAAAATACTAAAAAAAAATTTTTTTTTAATTAAAAACAGTAAAATAAAAAAAATTGAGTCACGTCCACTTTCGATGAATCTGGGTCCGGCAATGAGCGAATAACCATTAAGATTAAAATTCTTAATGCCTTTTTAAATCCGCCATTTTGAATTTTGAAAAACTGACGTTGGATTCGTAATCATCGATCACGAAAACACTCAAGCAACGCGAGTTTGAAGGGAATCCGTTAAATTTTTGAAAATTTGTTCCCAACATTTGATCCGTCATTTTAAATTTTGAAAATCTGACTTCTGATTTTTAATCAGCGTCTCCGAAAACCCCCGAATTTTTTTTTCTTCATGATTGTTTTTACCCCTAAAAACAATAAAAAATTGATCCACCAAATAAAACGTCTTGACAAGGGTAATATTTTTTTGGTTCTACTTCCTGACGAGGATTTTTATATGTGCAAAATAGTTTGGGGTGGTGTAAAACTATATATTCATACCACCAG